TTATTGCAAAGTTAAAAAATAAATAAATAAATAAAAAATAATAACAAACTAATTTCCTTCCAAAACAATTATGGATGTCTTCAACCCACTGGCACCAGATACATGCACTCTCTACTCTAATTTTGTTTTGTGAATCTTACTGACACAAAGATGGCTCCCCTCCACACAAGAACACAGTCTATACGGAGTCAATTACCTGGCCTACCTAATCTTAACCTGATTACAGCATTCTCTCAATTTTCGTTAATTTCTTTTCTATTAATGATACTCTCATTACATCAAGATTATCATATTATTAACCCAATGCTGTCAGGATAATGTTGTGCTCACTGTAGTACTGTTTTGTGAAATGTCTCTGCACATAGATGACTCTGTAAGTGCTTAGCCACAAAGGAGTCAATTAATACACCTTATGACAACACCTGGTTTCACCTTTCCTTGAGTTTTTTTTTTTTTTTTTTTTTTTTTTGCTAATGGTATCAGTATTGATGTTGTTATTTCTATCAAAGACATTGCAATTATCATAGCGTTATTGACAGTGATATGATACCAGAAAATATTTTTGAAAATCAAGGAAAATGGTAAACAGGTGAACCAGGTAATCGTAATTGGCTCACTGGTTACTTAGTACTTGTGATGCCATCTGTGTAAAAACAATTAATAAATTAAACTCATAATGGGCATGGCATGTAATTATGCACTGGGTTAAAAATACCGAGATTAGAAAAAAAGCAAATTGCAATATATATTTAACGTCTTTCCAAAAATAGAAAAAAAGGTTAACAGGTGTAATCAGATAAGATTAGTAACTGACTCCTTGGTGACTTGGCAGTTCTGGAGCAATGTATATATAAACAAAATTAATAAAATCACAGTTGACTGGGCATGTATATACACTTGCTAAAAAAAGTATCTTTACTCAGGAATAGATGAAACTGAAACAATCGCTAGGAGTTGATGCAGAAAGGTTGGTACTTCTTGTTTTCAAAGTTCGGAACATGAAGCGTCATGATGTGTTCAGAATAGTATTTCAGAGTTGCTATGGCCTCATATTTTGGCAATACCAGCAATGGAGACCTCCCAGATCCAAAATATCAAGAAGATTTGGTACTTTACAGCCAACGGCATCCTTGTGAATCCAACGTCAGCAAGAAGCTGTCCAACAGAGAAAAGGCCCTCTACATGTACAACAGATGAAGATTAAATAAATGTCCTTCAAACAAAAATTAATGTGCTATATGAAAGACGATTAGGAAGCTTGCACTGAAGTGCTCGAATACCATGAGCAAAGAAAACCTTTTGATACTCAGTGGTAACACTCCTGATTGGGTTTGAGAAGGGGATATGGCTGGTAGCAAATCGTCATATCCCCTTCCTTTGAGTAATTTTCTTTTTATTTATTTTTTTTCATTACTTCTTTTACTGAGGCCATTTGTTTCAAGGGATGTGGATCCCTTTTATTCTACTGGTAACATCCAGTGTGACTTGGCATTACACTGTAACATGCAGACTCAGAAACCACGGGAGTTGGGGAGTTGATGAATGTTAGTGTCCAGCAAATTTATTGTGTCTGCCCATGTGGAAATCCTGGTTGAGGTGTTTCTACCACTGGTGAGGACCATGGTGTTCCCCTAGCTGGAGCCATTTTATCTCAACCAGGATATAAGACATATCTACAAGAGCAGTATTGTACAATTCACCAAATCGCAGTTGACCCCCCCAAGGCCCCCAACTGACACCCCTGAGCAGGGATACCAATCTGAGGTTGAGCTCACAACACTTTCTACCACAATTTTCATCATTGTATCCTATTGTTGTCAGAAAGAGTAAAGATCCTTTTTTTTTTTTAGTGAGTACATGCCCTCTAGACATCAACAGGTTTTGAATATCAATAACAATTATTACCATTTCCAAAAGAATATATAAAAATATCATAATCAGGATATACTCTAATAATATCTTTGCTGGTATGCAACATTTTCAAGAAAAAACAAAGTCATTTCTTTTCTTCCCATTCATACAATATATCATAACTCATTTAACAATCCACTCAATAGTGCCAAAACTGCTGTTATATCAATTTAGAAGACTATAATCATCTCTGCTGGCAAAATTACCACAGAACATAGAACTACTGTGGTCCTACATGTGCTCCCATTGCTAACCCAAAGGTATACAGTCCGTGCAACTCGCTGCTGTGGTTTAGGCCCTACTCCTTAGGGTAGATAAGCCTAATAAAAGGTATGTAAGTTTTTTTCTATGACCAAGACCTTGACACTGGTATGAGGTAGACTTGCTACTGGTGACAGGTTGACCTTGCTAGTGTTACAGGTTGGCCTTGCTAGTGGTGACAGGTTGGCCTTGCTAGTGGTGCCTGGTGGTGGGTTGTCTCAGGGTAGTTTCAAGCCTTATATTTCACTCAGGGATAGATATAGCTGGTTTTGTGCAGCAAAGGGTATAGGAATAATAGGAAAGGAAGGAATTGAGCATCCTTGCAAGGTTCAGTTTGGATAGAAATAACAAAAGAAGGTTGGGTGCAACGAATGCAAAGAAGCACAAGATTCTGCATAATATTACTGAATCCATAATAAAATGGCAATCACAAAAAAAGAAAATTTGGTGGCAGATGCAACTATCTAAACTGAATAAAACATAAAAATTGTCACTGGCATAACTTTATCTAGTTCCCGGGACTGTGTCAGCATATGCACATATATGTATTCTTCATCCTTATTAACTTTTAACAGCATATTCTAAAATTCAATCTGATAGTATATTCCTTTTCTGTACATGCAACACAGACATGCTTGCTCTTTTATAATGGAATTTTGTGGCAATAATTTCCAACATGAGTTCTAATTATGCAGGTTTTATATATATACTGAATGGATATTTCCATTTGTGTATTCATATCCTCAAGTATGTATGTATGTATGTATGTATGGAAATAGGTATATTTGTGTGCAATAAATATTTATCTTTAAGGAATCAAAAATTCTACAGATGTAAATCTAGTGGATTTGAAAAGTAAATAAAAGCAAGGCTTGTGTATATAGTTTTATCATCAGATCAGTGGGGCCTATTATTCTCTGTAGGTCAATTATCATAATACCTATAGACATCTATAAGAACACAAGCCATGGCAGTTGAAGAACTGTTGATTGGTTCAGTTTTCAAACTTTAAAATTGGGAGAATGACTAAATGCTCATAAGTCCAATATGATACCTAAGATCAAGCTGCACCCCTACAAAGTTTACAGGTAGCAGCCTGTTTTTCAATCCACAATTGGATGATCTACATATTCATTCTTAGTTACTATAGTAGTTATGGCATAACACTTTATTTTCCCTGCTGAGGTTGAATATCTGCTGTACAAAGCCATAAATTTCCTAACTGCCTGCTAAATCTTTCTATCTTTCTACTACCTTGGGTTGGTAATCATAACCTTTGAGGATACTTGTTGTTTACTAAGTAAAGATAATGACGGGTTCATGTCTTACTATTTTGGATTTGTGTGTGTGTGTGTGTGTGTGTGTGTGTGTGTGTGTGTGTGTGTGTGTGTGTGTGTGTGTGTGTGTGTGTGTGTGTGTGTGTGTGTGTGTGTGTGTGTGAGAGAGAGAGAGAGAGAGAGAGAGAGAGAGAGAGAGAGAGAGAGAGAGAGAGAGAGAGAGAGAGAGAGAGAGAGAGAGAGAGAGAGAGAGAGAGAGAGAGAGAGAGAGAGAGAGAGAGAGAGAGAGAGAGAGAGAGAGAGAGAGAGAGAGAGGAGAGAGAGAGAGAGAGAGAGAGACAGACAGAGAGAGACAGACAGAGAGAGACAGAGAAAGAGACAGAGAGAGACAGAGACAGAGAGAGAGAAGAGAGAGAGAGAGAGAGAGAGAGAGAGAGAGAGAGAGAGAGAGAGAGAGAGAGAGAGAGAGAGAGAGAGAGAGAGAGAGAGAGAGAGAGAGAGACAGAGAGACAGAGAGACAGAGAGACAGAGAGAGAGAGAGACAGAGAGAGAGAGAGAGAGAGAGAGAGAGAGAGAGAGAGAGAGAGAGAGAGAGAGAGAGAGAGAGAGAGAGAGAGAGAGAGAGAGAAGAGAGAGAGAGAGAGAGAGAGAGAGAGAGAGAGAGAGAGAGAGAGAGAGAGAGAGAGAGAGAGAGAGAGAGAGAGAGAGAGAGAGAGAGAGAGAGAGAGAGAGAGACAGAGAGAGAGACCAGAGACAGAGACAGAGAGAGATAGTGAATGAGAGAGGTATATTTTGCAATTGTGGTGGTGTTTTAATTCATCCTACAATCAACTTACATGTTTCTGTTCATCTGACATCCAAATTTTCTTTATAAATTGTCAATTCATTCAGTAAAATATGACTGCGGATTTAAAGGTGATTTTGAAAAGCCAGTGAGAGAGAAATCTTACTGACTTCCAGATAGATATAAAGTTTGTAAAACAAAAGATAAAAAGGAATGGGCATACAGGGGTCACGCAAGAAATCTGACTGGTTGGGAAGATCTTAAGATTTGCAAGGGTATACCCATGCTGTGGAAAGGAATTATATACCAGTGTCCCACAACCAAACTACAATACAGCAAACCAAACCAATGTTAACTAACTACTGGTGGAAAATCATGTTTTTAAAAAGAAAGATTGCTTCTTATTGAAAAAGTATTCAAGCTGCTATCAAAATCTTTAAAGTAATTAATAAAGAAGGTGTATGTATAGGTAAACTGTGTGAAAAATGCAATGATACTACTACAATGGTACCTGCACTGTTAGGAAAGTTTGCATTGAAAACCTGGATTCCCATAGGTCCCAGAAGAGTACATTTATTCTAATCCATTTAATCTACCAATGCAGAAACCTTAAATTGCATCCACAAGAGCCAAGGGGTCATGGTGCAAACTTAATTGCCTACCTGACATCTGCCCAGGAGCTGATATTGTACGCTGTAAGCAGCGATACTGCTGTTGTTGCTGTTGCTGCTGCCTAAAGGCTGACCTGCTGGGGGGGAGGGGGCCCA